TCATTAAATTTATTTATTGTCAGACAAAAATAATATTGTTTTTCCATTCGTTATATGTAATACTAAAATGTCTTCTGTGGTATCAATTTGAAGCACATTTGTTAATAGGAGTGCAAAGCTTATGTAGAGAGTACATTACCAGCTATGAAATACAGTTACCACGAATTCCACCGCACCCTTGGAATGTAGAATACTATTATAATAAAAATGTTACATGAGTTAATATAAGGTACCACAAACGTTGCATTGAATAGTTAAACGGCAACAAATGTAAAAACAAAAAGTGCGAAAAACTATATTTTAAAAGACGCAGAATTTTCGGTGAGTTTGAAATCTCTAATTTGCTACCTAGACAGAATTCACTGCTGTGTGTATAATTTGTTGATGATTCAAAAGATTTGTTCAACTTTCTATTCTTTACAGAAATACTAAGTACACTTTTTGTCTTGCTTTCAGGTTTCTAGCTGTTCGAGAAAATACTTTCTGCTGGTGTATTAATATTTGTTTTTTTCTAATTTTGGAATAAATGCTAAAAATTGCTGGTAATAAATCAGCAATCAGCTAAAAGACATTAGTGGAATAGAATTACTATTGGATATAGCATTGATGTCACATAACTTTGTTTAGTTTAACTTGGCATAGATGCAGATTCGTGGATTAGAATACAATTAGTTTATTTCTCGTGAGAAATTTCTCTGAAATTAATGGTTTTTTTATTTGTTCCACTATTTGTTTATTTCCCAGATCTTTGATGTGCTTGGATTGACTGCATTCGAGACAAAAATAACGCAGAACAGAAAATTAGACACGTTCATTCATATCAACGAATTATAATAATTAATAAAGATGTTATTGTGTGTTTCAATTTATTATTCAGCTGTTCGATGTTTACAATTATTCGGTATTATTTTTACACTTTTACGAAAAGTTTCAATTTCAGTAAACACACTTTTTCTGTTGCACATAAGTCGAGAACTTAATTAGTTTTAAAAACATACTCCGTACGATTATGATTATTCTTTACAAAAAAATGTTATACACAAACTTACCTTATTAATGTTTATTTTTAGTAATAAATAATTACTTGGTTATGTGATTAGTTCATTGCATGTTGTGATGACTGTTCACAGTGCTCGCCCACAAAATGAATCATTTGATATATTCTGCTCAGGGGCACATTCAAAATTATATTTCAAGTGCTGATAATGTGTATTGATGACGAATTTAGAACCATATTATTAGCAGAAACACATTTTGAAATGTGTCTGATACAAGCACCTTTCCATATTTGTTTTGCCTGAAAGCACTTTTCAAAGCGTTGTGGTAGCAAACACTTCATTAAAACATGACCCCAGTTGACATTACAAAATGCGTATCTAATAAAGCACTTTTCAAAAGTGTTATGATAATGAATACTTTTCACTTTGTGTTTCTGGATAAAACATTTTATATATGTTATATGCAAAAACACTCGAAATATCGCAATCAACATATGCACTTTTCATAATTATGCATTCCATAATTGAGCTGTGTATATTATATTGTCTGCTAGTAGCGGCCTCATAGTAAAGCTGGCAACATCATTTTAGCAAGTTGCTGAATTAAATTCAAATATCGCTGATAAACACACTTGTTTCTGGTGCTTTAAAGAGCAAATCAGAGTTTCCAACAGAATTTTTCTACGTTCTGTTGTTACAATGAATTCTCATGGGAAATATTCAAGATTATTCAATATTGTTTAAGATAACAATAGCATCAATTGGACTTTACTCTCCTTTTTGTAGTTCCATGCTTGAATCGGATGTACATGGAATAAAACTACATCAAGTCGTCAAATGATTCATTATACATGTGCAGTCAATTTCGTCTCTGAATAATAAAGTACAGATTATGTATCATGCACCAGAACGCACATTATGATTTAATTTACCTTTCTATAAATCATTGATGTCATCGAACGACGAATCGCTTCTATGACGTAAATAGATACCACGGAGGCAGCTCAAATCGTCGATATCACAGTGACTTTGATCTGTAGTTTTAGAAAGAGATTTTATTGTGGTTTAGGTCACGAAGGATCATTCAAACAAACACAGTGACGTCGCAGAAGCGATCCATCACTGGAGGGCGGGATTTATAGAAGTGGTGTATTTCACTCTTTTTACAGTAAATCCGTTTGAAAACAAATGTGACATTCGTAAAATACCCAAAACCCTGATTTTAACTGTTAGCGAGATAATGCTAAAATAATATGAATCAATGGTCAAATATACATGTCATAGAAAACGGTCAAAAAATATCGATAAATTTATCGAAGTCGAAAGAAGGCGTAAGGCACAGCCGAATCGTTCTATGTCACAATGAGATAATAAGACTATGTATGGATACAGTTGTTATTAGTTTTATATGTCACGCATAGCATAGCATATCAGCAATTACCGATGCAAATCACTGTCAACAATTATATTGAACCGACCAGCAGTTAAAACGAAATACTAGGAGAGGTACATTATACACTCAGTTCTACAAATCAATGGATGTGCAGTCTATGCATATCACAGAAGCATTGAATGTACAATACAGTATTAATGATTACAGTAGCCTTCACAGCCGTGCAGTTACAAAGTTACATTATGATGATAGAATAACATATGTGTATTAAATGTATTACATGTATTATACGTAAGCAAAAAATAATCAATGTTGAAACATAGCTTGCAAGGTTAAAAAACACACAAAAAATGAATTTATTTTGTTTAGAAACGGAATCCGAATTATTGAACGAATGTTCTCAATATAAGTAGCGTATTTGTTTGAACAGACAACTTTAAAAAACAGGTGAAAATCTGTGTAGCATTGCGGACCCCATTTATTACTACTTGTGCGTTTTCATCCCTTTAACGATAATTAATTCGATGGTTGGATGATTGGTTTATTATTATCATTTTCAATTGTTTTATTATAAAGAAAGAAATCAGCGTTGTTATAGACGTCGAAACATGTCGACTCCGCTTTGTTTATTATAACATGTATAACGCATCCACTGGTATCACATGCTAAGCATTGGACTCTCCGCGTCCATCGCCGCGATGATCTCTGTGCTGGCTCTGAAATGAAAAATAATGAACTTGATTCGCATCATTTTAAGTTTCACATGACCATGATACGTCGTATTCATAATTGTCATATCTCATATCAGGAACGGAACAGAGCAAGAATGTGAGCTTTGCGTAAATAATTACACTCGTACGTCGACTTGATCGTCGTTAATGTGACATGTGCGTATTCACATTGAATGTCAACTAGCTCTAAAAAACAAGCAACTTAGGGTGAAAACCTAATACTAAAATTCATTAATGAAAGACTACAGTTAAATAGTTGAATACGGTTACTTACTACATCGAACCTGACTCGCCCGACTACATCATCGTCGTCCATTATAGTGACCCTGGCATCACCGCCGCTATTAATTGATATCTAATAAAAAAAAAAGTAAAATTATAAGACTGTGACGTTCTCTGTCAGAAATGTTGCTACAACGTAAACACTCATTCAGGTTTCAGCTAATTACAAATACCAGCATATTTATATATATATATATACTGTGACATTTAATTTCACTATTTTGATGTTTTTAGCAAATTTACTTAGTTTTAATTTCACAAATTTGTCAAGGAAACAATGAGTTTTGTTGTTATTTTACAGGTTCACGTTCGTTTAATTTAGAGGATTTTAATTATCAACGGAAATACTTGTAGCTAAATTAAACCAAGTGAATAATTAATGCATTTACAACATTACTGTTGTATGATCACTCGCATCATTATCATATCGTCTCTCATAGGATGGTACATTGCATTGTATTGTAAGTGTATCGTACCCTGTCGTATTACATCGTATGGCGCATCGCATAGCACTGCACTGTATTGTATTGAAACCTACCTCTGCGGGTTCCGAATCGCCAGCGAAATCATAATGTTCCATGTTTCTTGTTAAAGTTTCATTATCGTCGATAAGACGTCGAAATCGGCTAAAATGAATGACAAACAAAACGTATAAATGGACTTGGTTATAAACATACGGCTCATAAATGATTACCCGGTATTCAGAGGGAGGTTGTGACATACCTGCTGACAAGGCGTTTTCTTGAGAGAACAATCAGAATAACAGCAATAATTATAACAACCACAACTGCACCAACAAGTGCAGCAATAAAATACTTGGAAACTGTAAAATATAATAAGCAATTGAATAATGCGATCAATAATAGTAGCAACAGCGGCAATAACAACAACAACAAAAACGTTCTCACGTAAACACGTATCTGATGTAAATTGTTCTCACCTATTTCGCCATCTTCGTCCTCTACAATCGTATCGAACAAACAAAGACACGTGTTAGTAGATTGTGTTTAAAATTAAATTAAATTAAACAAGTTAGAATATATAGATTTTACTCCCAGCACAATCACAGTAAATAATCATAAGTCATGTATACATGAAGTACGATACACGTTAGTTATTCACATAATAACAAAAATGAGTGGTTTTATTTCTTACCATTGAATGGAGTACTCTCGTCCGATGCCGGTTTAGTGGTAGATAGATATTCTTCGGTGACGGTTGAATTATGATAGTCAGTGCTTTCTGTGGTTTTCAGTGTGCCTTTGGTAGCATTAGTTGATTGTTCTGGTTGCGTAGTGTTCAGGGTTGAATATTCAATAGTAGACGACTCAAATGTTGTTGTCTCATTTGTATGTGAAGTATTTTTGGGTGGCGTTGGTGTTGTTGGTGTTGTTGTTGTTTTTGTCGTTGATGGTGGTGGTGTTTTCTGTGTTGATGGTGATGCTGTCGTTACTTCTGTTGTTGAATCTAATGGCGTTGTTCTCGGAAATGTTGTTTCTGACTGTGTTGTATTCCATTGTGTAGATACTTCCGCTGCACATATGAAAACAAACAGATCGTTAATAGGTTACACAATACAAATTAAGCCTGCAAGCCGCTAATGCGCATGCGTTTCCATGCAGTAGTGGGAATTTATGGTAATTATGACGATGACCTAAAAACAATAGTCTGACCCCTGAAAACAACGATATTGCTACTGTCACTCCGGATATAATCTCAGTCTCCAATTTTTTTTAACAAGTTAAATTCGTTGCAAAATGTGATGAAAGATATAATTGTCACGTATCACATGACTAATGCCATTGAAATCATGATCGCATACTAATACACATAGTCTGTGAAATGTACCTTACTTGCGCCGACGAATATTACGCATACGCACCACACTGTCTCATATCACTATGGCATTACATAATTCTGGAACGTAATTCTAACAAAGGCATGCGCTCCTAAATTAACAATTTATGGCGTCAAGGCTATATATGCATAGTTGAACTTTGACCTCCAAACCAGTCTGACTACGTGTTACTAGATCAATTGTATCCAAGCTGTTGTGATGCGTACCTGACATATATATAATAATCATATTAATAATATATTTAATTCTCACGTATACACCCTATAATGACATTCAATATGCAAGATACAACTCAATATGAAGTGGAACAGCACTTTGCTCTCTACAATCTTCAACTTCAATTAAAACAAATATGAACGATTAAAAACAAAATTGCATAATACATTTTGAAATCTTAAAATACACGTGAGTTAGGGGGTGAGGATGCTGGAAGTAAAACTAAATATAAATAAATTGTTTATCCTGCACTGAACTGTTGATGGTACCCCTTAGGTTATCGACAAACGTTATAACACAGTAGGTGTGTGGTACTGACATGTGGTTGTTTATATAGAGATTAATGGTTATACAGTAGTTGGCAATCAATTATTAAAAGAAGTTAACAAATAAACCAAGGTCGAGATATGTTGTAAACGAATAACATTGAAACATGCTCACCATTACATTGATTAACATCAATATTATTCGCTGTTACGATTGTTTGCGTTGAGTTTGATAACTGACTATTTGTAAATTTAAGTGAAAACACAAACAACTACACAATGTGGTGGCCATTTTCGTTCATGTGTACAACACGTGCAGTGTACATTGGCCATGTGTGTTATTCGTACATCCGGGGTGTTATGTATATCATGGACAAGGACCCCCTCAAAGACAGAAGTTTGCTATAGAATATTGTAATTAATCTTAAAATACAATATACCCTACGCTAACGTTGGAGACAAAGTCTGAATTTACGTTTAAAAAAACTTCCTAAGTACAAAGTACGTTGATATAGGTCCTACTTTCATATTATATTATTATTTTCAATTTAGTAATTGTATTCGTCTTTTTGATTCTTAAAGGGGGCCGGAAATGTATTCGCATGATATTACTAATTGGTGTATCTGATATTGCGCAATGGTGTGCAGTGCACCGTGATCTCTAAATGTGTGTAATACCAGTATGGTCATGGGTCTCTTAGTTTCTCTGTCTCATCTACATAGTACTTTGTGAACTAATTCAGAAATGCCGGTTTTCTATTGGATGCTGTTTGTGTCTAATGTATCACACTCCATTAATTGAATCTATTTATGACTTAAATATAATTTGAAGTATTGAATTACATGGTGTTCGTAAGTGTGAATGCGTTTTTAGATGACTTACAGACTTACAAATTAAACTGATCTTACTACTACGTAATTAAACATATAGCTTAAACAAACCCAGAAGAGAAAAGGATATGTGTAAAATTTTCAGAACTGACGATGAACAATTGTATAATAATTAGCAAGTAGCAATCAGCTAGACTGAAATAATAAAAGAACTTTCCACTATTCATCCTAATGGCTAAATTCATAAAAAATGTTACTGAGACATTGAATTGTATTTTAACAAAGGTTGGTCCGTTTTTTATTATTTTATTTACGACAGTATTTATTTTAGTCTCATGACTTTTGTATTAGCTGATACCAGCTTCGTTTTTGCCTTCGTATTTTAGTTCATATTATTACAGTATTAGCTGAATTTTAGTTTTCTATTTATTGTAACAAGTTTAATAACAAGTGGATAACCGGATGTGACGTCACGTCTCATTTCTCAATTCAGTTTGTAAATATGGCAACAGTTGTGGAGCAAGTATCTGGTGTGTTCTGGATGTTATGCTTGCTATGGTGACAAAGCCCACTACACGGACATTTCACATAATCTCTGAAATGTATGAGTAGTGTAGTCGTTTCTAAACTGCTTCAAAAAGTAAGAAAATATGTTCTCTTGGTGGATGGCATATTATTCAACCTTTGACCTGAAACCAGTCATACCTAGTTTTATATGTTTTGGTGATGCGTATCCGACCAATGTTACATCTAACTCAACAGCTATTTAAGTGTGGGCAACACAATTAATAACTTCGAATAACTTTAAAAAATCCATAAAGAAAACGTAAAATGACATGAAATGGTATAACTATAACGTCAGCTGTATGGGTGAACTTGTATTTGTACATATATGTACAGTACAGTCCTCGTCTGCCTGCCACGGCTAACCAACATGACCCCGGCGGCATTGATATCTGTCACGAACTGTCGCCGTCATCGTTCATAAGATATATTCATCAGAGGAATACGTGTGTACAGCGCAACAGGTGTCTGAATCGTATCATGATAAATATTTAAAAATATACGTAAAATACGCCACACTTATTTGTGAATACGTTTTTACATTCAAGTTTTCTAACTGGTATAATTACACCCCATAGTTGAATAGTTTAGTGATAACCGGTTCCTGTTTGGAATGTAGAGACGTGTTGACATGGTTGTTTGCGTTGATTATCAAAAGACGCACCACGTACCACTCTTCTTCGTAAGTACGGGTTCGGCCCCGGTAATTACTCACCTACAACCGCCAGCAAAAGACAAAATATCGTCCAGGAGTTTCTATCCATGATGTTCAGGGCTACGTGAGATATTTGAAATGCGGCAGCGGTAAAGATGACAGCACAAACAAATATGGCGTATTTGTTGACCGTCTGCTTTACAATAAAACGGTCCAGTAGTTCCGCTGTTCCGAGTTAAAGTAGATTTAGAATCGCTTCTTAAGAAACAGTTGAGCGTTTCCCAGCGCCACAATAAGGTGCTCAATAATGCTAAACACTCTACCTAATACCAGTCCCGTTGGTACGTGATGGTTAGCTGGTGTAATGTTTGCCGATCCAACCGTGAGGACTTCGTTTCTGAATCATGTGACCATCGATATTTATGGTCCAATGATGTCATCATACATCTAGGTCACGACATTAATATATAGTATATCTCGCGTGTAGCCATTACCGATACACTTACTAGCTGAAGAAGGGATAGAGGTATGTGTGGCGGGTCCTTCTTTAATTACATTAACAATGTGAGAGAATATGCACAAGGGGGTAGAAATGTATGTCTTTCAATTATATGATACATTAGTTTCCGGATGTGGTTGTAGAGTTATATAGTAATAGCAAAGAGGGCTTGAACAAAAAATAACTATTGGAATATTGTGACAGAAATAGGTTTTACCCGAAACAACAAACATTATGACATATTCGATTATGGAAATGTGGAAATTGCTAAGAAGTGGCGCAAGTGTCGCGTTAAACTGAATAGTATAAGTTGATTATTTATTTATTTTATTTCATTACAATATGTCACCAGCTTCAATGTCGCTACAATATACCGAGGACGCGTATATAGTGGAAAAGTTAAATTAAAAATTATAATAATAATTTATTATCTGCCAATGAACTTTCTTGGTAGCACAGAAAATAAACTTTTACCTAGCATGCTTATATAATCAGTTTGATCAGTTTGCAATAATGAGCTAAATTGTTCAAAAGAAGGAATTCTGGTGTAATATGTATGTATATAACCACTTTTTATGTCATAATAAAATTGACGAATGATACAGAAAATGTGTTCGTCTTCGACGCTGTTTGAATCGCAGAAAATAAAGTTTCTGTTGTCGAGATTTGAGTGCAGCCTTCTGTCTCTCCGAATCAACGCTGTGTAAAAAGGTGAACAAACTGAATAGAAGAACCCACTCCTTATTCACACTTTCCATTCTCCTTCCCTGAAAATAATAACAAAACATTGCCTTCATATTTTTAAATTTCACAAATCAAACTGAAAGAGGGGTTTCTATTGGCTGATTGGAAAACTTTGGAATGTTTTAAAATGACGTCGCTGCGTTCCGTTCATTGGCTGGTTTGATTCAACTGCTATTGAAATTTATAAAGATGAAAAGAATGCCTTTGTTGCGCTGAGAGTTTATAAAACGAAGAGTCTGAGCAAGGCACAAAACTGGTATGTTTTTGAGTCAACACATGTCAACACAACACAGCGTGTAGTACTGTTTATTTTCCATTTCGGACTGCAATGTCAATAAGAACTTGTTGTAGGCAAGAATTCAGTATACACAATATTTATTTATTATCTCTAGTCTTATACTGACCCAAGCAAGTTGCCTACCGCCCTTGATTACAAACGCGTGGTATGTGTTGCATCGAACACGTCTCTGACCCGTTAATACCTCCTTTTCAACTATAATTAACTGAGTAATTTTAACATAAATCCAGCAAAGTTAATTATTAAAACAACAGTCCCAATCCGCGCCATTCCTCAAAATGGCACAGTGTAAATTTGCCTCGCAGTTTGTTTATTTAAATAGATAGAATATTCAATGTTAACGAATTGAGTAGAGGATGAAATAGAAAAAGATGTTTCCACGTGTGCACTCGCTCAGTTTGTGAATTACGTAGAGAGTATTGTTTGCCCGAGATACATATTTATTATTCTATTCAAGTTCATACTTTTGACTGAACAATGGGCGTAATATAGTAGTCATGACATCGTTGCGCACCTTGTCAATCACGGAACTTTGATATTCGTTGACCTTGACTTCACGTCGGTTCCTACACGTTTAATATATTAAATAGAAGGGCGTGGACTAGATGACCATGCCAATTCATATTATAACTAGTTGGTTATTAACCGATGATACTTGCGAACGACCTTTGTCATTCGTAACACTGCGCCGTACCATCCACACGTCCAATCCTGAGTTACTCGCGGTTCCTTCGTTTTGTTTGTGCTCAACTAAAAACGACAACTGCAACCACTAAGACTTATTCAGTAAGAAGATCTGCGGATCGTGGCGAAAGTGGTAACTAGTTGCAGACATTGACAGACATGATTAGTGTGCACACAGTTTGGTTCGCGCTAGTGCTTCTAACGATACCAGGTTAGAACAGTTATGATTACATTTAAGTTGATTCTCATTTACCGCAAAATTATTACAATACGTGAAAATCGTATGCCTTCAAATAATGTGAATGCCCACACGTCTCTCATTCGTTCTTATTATTGTTATAGCTGAATATAATACGTGTTAACAGGAAACACTGTAAAATATTCGGTGTCCGTTGGTATTTGGTTTACCTGTGAACCCTGCTTTGAATATTCAATAGTTTGTCTGATGAGTCAGATGTTTCGTATCAGTGTCAGGGTACATATAAACCTAAATCACGCAATTAATGTTAATGATTGATAAACAAACACTGTTATTTAACGCCTCGACATTTCCTATCTCTAAGTTTATAGATTTGTGGGTACTCGGCGTTTTGTTTTATATTCCAACATACTTGTCTTCCAACTAAAATTTCTGAACTTGACCACGATTGGAACTTGCTATAACAGTCAAATACAATGCCAACTTGCATATTAATAATAAATCGTAATAATTATAGTAGTACTCTAAGAAGTGATTGCGGTAGCTCTGTTTGCTCTGAGTGGTTAAGAACATGTATCTATGTGACATTAAATGAATAACGATTAACTGCACGGATCTACCGATAGTATCTCGGGCAATGAGAATAATGGTGGTCGTTTTCTTGGAATTAGTGTTACGATGAACGGCGTGAGATTTATACAGTGTAGGTGCCATTCGATGAGTTCGTTTATGAACATTAGTCAGGTGTAACTAACATATTTTCTTCTTGATGTGTTCTGCTGCATTAATGTGCTAATTAATATTCACCACCAGCTTACGAAGTAACAAGCCAAAACGGTCCTTATGATTGTGATTTCGAGAACGATTTTTGTTCCTGGATGAATGACCCAGAAGCGGGCGAGGAATGGCTACGAGAGCAAGGATCGACTGGACTCCGAACGCAAACTGGACCGCCAGCCGATCATACCACTGGCACACAGGAAGGTAAGTAACTAGCCCGCCTTAAATTAATATAATAATCTAAAGGACACTGATGTTTTGTTTTTTTTGTATTATGTATGGTGAACAGAAATTGTTCATGATTTGAGTTGTCAAGAAACAACGATTTCCTATCATATAAACTAAGTAGTAACTGTTGTACAGTGTTTGTGATATATTTACGCACAATACGTTGGAATTCATAACATATCAATAACTAATTAAGGCATGAGTTGCGATTAGTAATCTTTCTGTCAAAAATAGTTGTTAGAACAACCAAACATTTCAGTTATTACACCTGTCAGACATCGTGTCAGATATTTCAAGTGTCAATCATCTGCCCCGTGTGTTTCTGAGCAAAAATAATAATAAGTAAAATTTTGGATAAGAACAATTATTTAGTTCAATACCAATTAAAGAATATGCTGGGAAACTGACGTTTGAAAGCTAAATCACCCCAGTAAACAAAATTCTGTAAAAATAATAAACACTTTTTTTTATAGAGAGAGGTTTAACAAGATAATACGAATGACAAGTAATAATGAGCTTGTTTAAATATTGTTTATATTGCATCTTGCTTAAGGTAGAGATGCAGGTTCGTGGACACTTGAGAGAGAAATTTTTTTTTTGCTTATTATTTTTCAAAAAGTCTTCGCTATAGACTGTTGAAATTTTGTAGAATTGTTAATAGTGGAACATACTCAAAACACGATTTCAAAATATAAATAACAGGTGCAAACATTATTTCTTTTGAATGCTTAGTAAGATTTAGCAAGGCTATACATAAATAATAAAAAAAACATGGTGATAAAAAGAAATGACGGTATATCCATAATATGCACTGTATTTAACTTTTTACAAAACGATAATACATTTAAATTTGAAACTGTAACAGCCATTTTAATTATGAGCATGAGCAAACTTCTTACTGAGTGAATTGTTATGCAAATTAGCAATTATCCTAGCTTCTTTTTAGTGCACATTCCAGAACTGTCGGGGCATTGTTTTTAGTTTAATAGTATTACAGCAATCGTACAGACAACTAGCCTGTGTGTTAATTTACGCATAAACTTGAAGTAGTGAAATTTGAGCTCCTGCCCTACAAAATTGACAACTGGTAGACAGTTTTCAAGACGGCACTTTCTTCATAGTAAACAGATGTACCAATAAACCACTTTGACAAGAAACAGAAGCATGGTTTAGAAGCTTTTTTTTTTAAATCACTTTTGACCAAAAAAGCACATTTTTGTGCATATTTCAAACTACAGTGTCCATAAAAATAAAATACTCACAAAACTTTAAAATTCATACAATAAGCTTTTCGAAAATATATAGTTTTGTGGACAAGGGAGGTCATCTTGGTTTCCTAATTAACTAATTAAAATACCTGTCAGGTAAACTGCAACTCTACCTTAAATAATTGTTCATAAAATAAAATACGGCTATACCTATATATACAAGTATTCGAATTCGGCTTTTCAGTATTTTATTGAATAATATGCAATATTTTACAGTCAAAAACATTATTTTGTACCATAAATCATACCATATTTTTTTTTCAAGAACTTATTTTAATATGCTCAAAGAATAAAGATATTCACAGTGTGTTTTTAATTAAAAAAATATATACAATGGGATCACCCACGTGGGATCTTAAAACGCCCTCTATAGGTCTTTTTAAATATTTAAATCGTTCACAGTAAAGTACTAAAATGAAATACTCGGACGCTAACGGTAGAGTAGATGCATAGTGACGTCGTAACATCGCCTTGTTGTCGCTTACAGGTTGGTACGCATATGTACAGCAAACACTTCACATTGGGTTGAACGTTCAAGCAAGCCTCACGAATCCTGCTTGGACCGGACCAAAATGTCTGACATTCTGGTACCATATGTATGGTAGTAGTCTGGGGTCACTCTCAGTACTACTTGATACAGGTCAGATGAGTAAGTTTGTAAATATTATCAGTATTACATTATATTGAGAAATCGACATGTTGTTTGCATAACCAATGTATACGTTTTATACATATAACAGGAGCAGGACAACACGCATGGTGTCATTAGTACATTCTAATATATACGATCGAAATCGTGACTTTAAACCGTCGATATATATGATTTAGAAACACACAGCATATGTGTGAACAAATGTGTGCGATATATTTACATGTTACTCACATTTTCATAAATGTGCAGTATGTATTTTTTTATTGAATATGATATTGATATGATATGATATGATATTATTTGACAGTACATGAGAGCATCTGGTCTCGGAGTGGTAATGTTGGTTCTAACTGGAATTACGCCCAAGTACATATCGAAGAAACTGGTACCTATAACGTCATTATCGAATCCAGAGCCACGCTGTTGAACATCGGCGTTGTAGCTCTGGATGATATCATCGTGTACGACGAAGACGATTGTCCACCGCTGGGTATTTCTGTTTTTCTTAATATTAAGATACCATGAGTTCGCCATGTTTTAGAAAACAAACTTCAAAATATACCGAAACATTCTGAGTCGTAAATAAGTGATTCTGTTGATATTACACGTAAATGAAATACGAGACGCAGTGCATTCTGGTTAAGGAATACATTTAATATAATATATTAAGAATTACTGCGAATGAAATGTATCTATTATATATATTTCGAAGTTCGATCACGTGCAAGAAAGCATAATATTCATATGATTCAAATACACAATCTGTATTTTTTGTTCTACTTAGATATTTGTGATTTCGAATATGGTGTGTGTGAATACACCAATGACCAGAATGCAGACGCCGAATGGAACAGGACAAAAGCCGACAATCACGTAAATGGTCCTGATTATGATCATTCTACTGGAACATCACAGGGTAAGGTTAATGGGTTACTCGGTCATTATCACAACCACTGCACATCGCGTTAGCAGATTGCTATATTTTGGGGTAGAATTTGCAAATTGTAGGCATACTGTCGCGTTAAAGTATCTAGAGTTTTCCAGGGTCAAATATTTCAAGTTACAAAGTGGGAAACCCTATAGACTTATCTCTAAAGGTGCACAGGTGAACACATCACATAAGATACGCTGTAGTGGAGACATAGAGGTGCGACTGCAACAGAAGTTTTAGTGTATGAGAGTTGAATGGAAGACTTGTTAGTGATATGTTTTATTTTATGTATTATACAGTCAAAGCCATAGCATGTGAGGTAAGCACCTTAAGACAGAGTGGAATGGCACAGGTTTTAATGTATATGTTAAACACGTCAATTTGAACTTTAGTTGAGAATTAATATCCACTCTTCATATTTTGTATAGGGAATTATGTGTATATGGATACCAATGGAATGGAGACGGGAAAATATGCACGACTTCTGAGTCCTCTATACAGCAGTTCTTTATATGAGTCAACCTGTTTGCAGTTCTGGTATTATATACACGGTAAGTATGCACACAACAACCAAATAAATTAACATAAATTGTTCTTATTTCAGAGTAAATTATGCATCAGTAAATTGAATACAAAAAAAAAATGAGTGAATGACGAGCCGATCCCGACGTCGACATAAATACCGCGAGACACATTTTACCAGCAGAACAGTTTGATCTAACACTGAAAGATATCGTGTCATAATTTAGTTGATAGAATGCAATTTGACGATTTTGTGTGTGAAAGTTCCCTAATTGCTTTATACCGATTCAGCCACTCGAAAATACGGTAGTATGTCCTTCACTTCAAATTATTACTACTAGGCAAGTTGTATTGTAATCACGTAGATTGACCTCAATAGAAGAGAATTTGTGAAACATGAAACACTCTTATTTCATTTAGCCTACTGTGGACACGGGATAAATCACACACATTTTCTCGCAATTGGTCTATTCAGTTTTGATTTAATGAATAACTACAGCCAAATGTCGTGATTTGTTTAAACCATTGTCCAACTGTTATCTGTGTGTATATATGATGTGATAGTTGTAGTTCTAATATTTATATTTAGTTAAATTGTTTGTTAAATTATAAAATAACAACGTTACGAACTCATGTGTGTTAGGTCTGCCCAGGAAGATAGAAATAGGCTTGGGGCGTACACTTGCTGTGTGAATAAATTATGTATATTTAATGAACCAGACGCGAGTTTCTATTGGCTTACTCTAGCTACCCATATAAATTGAGTATTGACCATATCGGTTTAAGATGAATGTTTCTGAATGTTATACGGAATAGTGTCCAAATAAAATCATCCCCTAGAATATTTGAAATGTCATTGAGTGTTTCTGCGAATACACATGTTGCTCATATAGGTGGCAGCGGGGGTGCTACATTATCAGTATACATCAAAGAAAACGACGATCTTGGCACCCCTATATGGGAGACAGAGTACGACCAGGGTGGTTTCTGGCACATCGCATCTGCGGAGTTCATACCCCAAACCGAGTATCAAGTGGTGTTTGAAGGATCCGTCGACCAGCAAGGAGTTTATGATATATCGCTCGACGACATTAGTGTGAACATCCCCGTTGGCGGTTGCACTGGGCTTCACGGTAAATTGTTCAATACTTCATATACTTGGCTTAAACGATAGGAAAACAAATTAATGCATAAATTCGACAAAACAACAACACGCAGAATAACGTGGGGCTTGACACCCACATAATAGAGATCAACCAAAATATTTATATATACTATATATAATAAAGCGTGTTCGCTGAAAATCAGAATTAATTGTTTTAATAAATTCAAATAAATAGTGTTTTAAGAACTCGTTACAACGTAGTAATAGATATATGTGGGGCTTTACAAGAGATTTATTGATTGTTTACCTAATATATATATATATATAATGTTGTACTTCAGCAACCTGCAACTTTGAATATGACATGTGTACCTGGACCAATGTTGGCTACGATGATTTTGACTGGATAAGGTACAGTGGTTCGACATCGTTTCTGCCATACCTAAGTGGTCCAACCAAGGATCATACAACTGGATCAATTCACGGTGCGTTTCAACTCAGGGAACACATTCTTCCCTGTTATCTCACTTTTTTCCTTCTCTTTCATACTTCTCTTTGCGTATAACCGTTTTGAAGCTGTTTTATTTGTCACTAGCTTTAAGCTTGGGCGAGACAGAGACATATTGTATTATTTACCATATATTGGAATACCTAATCGTTGCTTTATTTTCAATTGTAGGTTGGTACATGTTCATTGAGAGTGGCCCGCCAAGTTCATCCGGCGATAAAGCCCGGCTGGTATCTGAAGTATTCATGCCGAACCAGAATTACTGCTTTTTATTTTATTATCATATGTATGGGTTGACTGAGGAATCGCCTGGCACCATCCGGGTATGTTTCGTTCCAGGATGTTGAATATATCATCGACGATCAATAAGTCTCCCCTGTTGTAGTGTAGTGATTCAATAATACAAAAATTTAAATGGTAATCGATATAACTTGAATAATTCTAAATCAACTGTATTCTCTCAGTTTTGAGTAATGCATGCTAATGAAAGAGCGCATAGGTTAGCGTGTAACTCGTTATCAACACCCCTCGCAGCTACTGACATTTAAATAGCATACTTCATCACAGAATTACCACACGTCAAAAGCTATAAATAGTTTTGATTTATTGAGACGAAAAACACAAACAAGTCAATGTCTAAAAACCACTACTCAACAAAAAATGTATCTGGACTATTGAATGCCATATGTAATAAAATGAATATACACGTTCTCATCTCAGTGCAGCCGTAATACTGTCGCAAATTGAATGCACGTGACCATATCTGACCCAGACAATAATTAAAGACCAAAATAATTTCCGGATTAGACCAGTCATCAGTCGTAATTATTGTCGCAAAACAACGCTAGATAAATGATTCTCTCAATATATTTTGGTTTCAGTATGATTATCGATAATTTGCATCATCATTTGAATTAATATTTTCATTGATATCAAATTATTACGTCAGATCGTTATTGAATATACAGACGAAACAGAGCAAGAATTATGGCGGGATAGTGAAAACAAAGGTGATCGATGGCAAGAACAGTATATTGATATCTTTTCAACCAAAGCATTCAGAGTAAGTGAAATATACTCGCTAAGTAGGTGAATAGTTTTCTCGGGATCCCTAATTCGAACTGTATTTGTCAATTCCTTTGACAAGTTTGAGAGTTTAACATGACATGTTGTAACTGTAGTTTTATTCGACATTGTATGTGCATCACTTTTTTTCAAGTTAGAGCGACATTCTTTTTGCGCAGCGTGTTCGGTGTATGTGAAGACAAACAATATGTTTTACACGCGTTGGATATATTGCACGGGCTTGTATATAACACGACGCCTTTATTGCAACCGTGGCTTCAAACTGGGATAACTATATTTTAGATTTTTCACCAACGAATTGCATTTTTAACTGCTGAAAATAATGTATTTGTTAACACTGCTTCAAGGTAAAGTTATTTGTGGTTTGGCGTTGTACCAAAATCGCTAAAATGGCGTAGCTACATCAATGTACAATATTAATCTAAAAATATGCTAATGATATATAACTTTAATTTCTTGTTGATTCAGATTGCGATAGAAGGTGAAGTTGACGCCAAATTCGCTAGTGACCTGGCCATAGACGATACCAAAATGTTTAACTACAGCTGTAATCCACCAAGCTACAATTTTACTTGCAGTAATGGTACTGAAATTGCCTCTGAAGAGAAGTGCAATTGGGTTGTCGATTGCCCTGATGCATCAGACGAGCTAAACTGTGGTTAGTTGTACTGTATGTTATTGATCAAAATCAAAATGTGCAACGACGTCTAATTATCATTCACACTATAGATGTATGCATAGAACTCTATAGTCATGTTTTGGTGTCACTTTTATGTCATTTTAATATCACACTATGCATATCTACAGAAGTTCATAATCTCCAATTCAACTGCATGAATACCTAGTGATCACCACCTCACTGCTGACGCTGAACTTCTCTTAACATTTTTTTTCCCACGTGCGTTGTGGCTTTGGGGTTAAAGGTTGAGGTTAAAGTTTAAGCCGCGGTGCAAAGCAACGGCGGTTTAATTTTTAGCCTCGTTGCCGAGTAACGATGATTTACTTGATTATCTTCTATACTTTGAATTATTTTTCTATCTTCTATGCTTTTAATTATTTTTCTATTCTTTCTTTTATTCTTGTAATCACTATTTTATGTTTCTATTTAT